AAATAAAAAAAATTGGGGCGGGGCCTCAAAGAGGGGGCGGGCGGGGATGAGAATCTAGCAAATAATTTATTATGGCCTAAAATAGCTCGGACAAATTTGCATTTCAGAAGTTTACATGCATTTTTGGTGGAGTTATGCCCCTTTTATTGCCAGATAAGGGCATTGTGTAGTAAATGCAAGATCTTTTTTATTTTTTAATCAATTCCTTTCAATTTTTGTAAGGTAATGATGAAGCAATAATGTTCAACATATATTACAGGTTTTCTGTTGAGTTTCAACTTTCCTCGTTTTGGCATATATGTTTACATGATAACTCGAGCCAAAACACTTTCTTACTAAAAGCGCTGAGCAGGCGACACATCCACTCCCGTGGAATTCTTGTCTAAATATAATGACATACGAAACCTGTCATGTATGTTTGCACTTGTGGTGAAATCATGATTAAATCTTTAGGTACAACGGTGCAACGAATAAATGTCCAATGATGGAGAACAAGACTATATGTACATGGGATGCTCAAACGTATGCGCTGGACACCAGCCAATGGTATTTCAAACTGACCGTCATCAACACTGCACACAACAACGTCAGTGAACAAGGAGAATGGATATTAAAAACTGTTAAAAACAACGGTAACTATAGATTATAGCCCACCTGGTCTGAAGGGCCAAGTGAGTCTATGTCGTGGTGCAGCGCCCATTGTCCGTCTCACGTCCGTCAGGTAGCAGAGTACAGTAGAAATGGCTTGATCCTAAAAATAAAGGGCATGTCTCGAAAAAACATGGATAGCGGATTCATCCTGCACAACACACCTACATATATATATATATATTTATAAACTACATTTTTAACATGTTTTTTTAGAAGAATGATTTTTTTTTCAAAAAGTGATTTCCCCAGATTTGGGAGTTGTGAAAACCATGGTCACCACATCAAAAAACGCAAAAAATGCAAAAAAAACATGATTTGTGACCCAAAATTTGCCCCACGCAAAAAGTTATTTTTCTTTCTTAAAACCTGTCTTGAATTAATTATCACCTGCTCGGTAACAGAAATACTCACGTTATAGCATAGGTCATTCAACTGGATCTTTCACAATATTTACACATGTGCTGAGTACAAAAATAGACTGCATGAAAAGCCAGGTTTTGTTGTGTACGCACAAATTTGAAAATAGCGAAAAATGGAGTCTCAAGCCAAATTCAATTTTTCTTTTCTTTAAATTTGAAGCCCACATAGTCCAATTCATCATGTTTATGCCAATTTTAGACCTTATTTTAATACATGTAATATTACAGGGGTTATTCATTGAACAAAAATATCACTGCCACCGTACGCTACTGTACACTGCTACCTCAATCCATCTCGGTCAGCATTAACATTTTACTTGAAATATCTTCTTCGGATTAACCAAGTGCAATCAGTTTAACGAATGACCTTGGAACTTTGTTCAAGGTTATAAGTGTTAAATTTGTTAAAAACTTTTTGAATATCAAAGAGTCCTATATGGTGATGGTCATTTGTCAGTAGCATGCTGGGATGAAGGGCTATATTTGGTTACCTTAAAGTTAAAAACCTTGAACCACTTTCAAGATCATGGGTTACAAATTGCAAAACATTTGAACCATTTCTTCTAAATAAACCAAGAGGTCAAAGGTGATAAGATTGGCATGCTTGGTTAATGGCTATTATGCTTGTTGAATTGGTCTTGACCCATTTGAACAAGATAGTCTTTTGACTAGAAGAGATTGTGCTCTGTCTGAAGAAAACTCTATTTGTCCTCTTTATTTGTCTCAAGGACATTGTCCTTTTATTGAAGGTGTTTGTCCTTTTTTTATGAAGGAAATTGTTCTTCACCTGAAAGAGATTGTCCTTTGATGCTTTTTTAAGATGATTGTCCTTTGATGCTTTTTTAAGATGATTGTCCTTTATCAATAGAATATGTGATTGTCCTTTATCAATAGAATATGTGATTGTCCTTTATCTATAGAATATGTGATTGTCCTCTGTCTAGAATATGTGATTGTCCTTTATCTATATAATATGTGATTGTCCTTTATCTATATAATATGTGATTGTTCTCTGTCTAGAATATGTGATTGTCATTTATCTATAGAATATGTGATTGTCCTCTGTCTAGAATATGTGATTGTCCTTTATCTATAGAATATGTGATTGTCCT